TGTGACAGCTTATGGTCGATAAGATACAATGTGATTGTTGTTGCATCCAATGACAATGAGTCGCCTCAAGTTACCTTACCAGGCTTTTTGATCTGTGTACGTGTGCCAGTGTGCTACACAGCCGTTTTTAGTGTCGCCACGCAACGCTACTCCCCACTGGGCAATTCGAGGTCTTCCACGTTTTCTCACAATGGCTGAGGTCGCTGAGACGGCGAAGACGGCGTGGTCATCATTGACTGTGTGGCAATTTTTTATGAAGAGGGCGAAGGAGGCGAGCATTATCGCAACAAGAGTAAGTTTAGATGTCGGGTTTCGAGAATTGAGAAACGCCCTATAAAGTTAAAAAAGAAAATCTGGTAAGTTTGCCTCTTACCGGCGCGGTGTGTGAGACAGTCGAGATAGTTGACCCCTGAGATACTGACGTACTAGACTATAGACTCATCCAAACTCGCACTAGACGTGCGTGGAAAGGGTTTTGGTTTGTTTGTTTTTTTTTTTTCGCGCTTTCAAGAGTTATTTTTATTGGAGTTAGCTGTTGGGTCGACCTACCAAAAGGTTCTTTTCAGTGAGAATTTGCCAAAAATTTGCCAGCTACCAAAATATTAAAAAAAACATGGACATCTGGTGCGTATCACGTGAGGATAACGTTAATTATGAGCGCCTTATTTATACAAAGTATAGCTTCAGTGCCCTGTGTAGTATCATACAATACTTTTAAAATTTTCAAATAAAGTTTTTGGCAGAAAGAAAAAAATAAGTTGCCCTTTCAGTCGTTCTAACACATATTATTATATATGATATGTAGCTGACAAGCAATCCATCCTATGTCTTGATTTAATAGCTTTTCACTCTTCTTGTTTTAAACAATAACCATAATTAGTATATACACACTCAGTGATCTTGGTGATTTAAGCAATCTGATTGGTTCGCTATCTCGGACTATTCAACAATATTCACCTCCTAGCGAGTGGATAATGTGTGAGCTCGGTGTTTTTCCCGTTTTTTTTAGAGAACGATCTTTTAAAAGTCGACAAAATCCTAGGGCTGACTTTTTTTAAGGCAAGAAAAGACTTGAAGGATTCAATACGGCGTTTTTCAATTTACTGTAGCAGGAGTTTTGTGCTCGATGGATTGTTTACAACTCCCGTGTATTCGCGTAGAAGAAGCCGTTTCGTGAACTCAGCGTTTTCTAAGAAAATTTTGGCTCAAAAATCGAAGTTTACTTATGACAAACAAATTTAAAAGGAAATGTTTGCAGAAATTCTACATTTCAAGTAAACAGGAAAAAGAATGATACAGGAAGACGACCTCTTACCTCGAGCAACCGAGCCGCCATTTTTGTCAGCACTTCATGCGAAGAACGACACAACATGCCCTTTTGGCTATAAACTTGGCGAGTCAACAGAAAACAACACAGCTCTACTTTTTTTCTCAGGTAAGGAAACAGTTCAAACTTTTAGCGATTCCATTGAAGCCATTACGCTGTTGTTTGCGAAATGAGTAAACTTGTGAATTGCCATGTTTGAAAATTCTGCAAAGATCTATTTTTAAACTTACGCGTGATTTGATCTGTCAATCAAATCCTACTTTTGAATGGTTTCCTTTCTGATTTTGTTGAGATCACTTCGTGTGTATATACTAAAACAATTATTCTTCTCAATCTCGGTGAATAGTGGCTTTGGGAATATTTACCTCGCCGCTTTCGCGGCTCGGTAAATATTTTGCCACTATTCACCTCGATTTCAAAGAATAATTGTTAAAAATAGCTTTGTAAAAATAATTCATGCATTTTAAAGCAAGTCTTGTGACCTGTACTTAATTTAATGTTTCTTTTTGGCAATGTACTAGCGTGATTTGACTTAAGAAAGTCAGAGGATGCAGGCATATGACAAGATAAACAGTTTAACCCACCTTTGTGTAACAACCTCAGAGATCGGTTCGTTGAGTTCTATATACAACACTAAATCTGTATGTATAGAAGGGATATTGACATAGTCTATTTATAATTATATTAAAGTGCACCTCGCGTGATTATGGCCTGACCACATTTCGAGTCATTATCAAGAACTATCAAGGGTCTGTCGATGAAATTCTTCAGCAGTGTGATTTTGAACTCACAACCTTTCAAGACTTGAGTGAATTCTTTCCTGAAAACTCTTAACAAATAAGATGCCTGCATCTGGAAAGGTAAATGTATCTCTATCTTGTATAAACGTTATTATTTTCCTCCGAAATATTATATTTTTACTTTTTGACGGAGGCAATATAGTGCAAAGTTCTCTATCATAGGAAAATTTGAATCAGATTTAACAGCCTTGTCAGAATGAGATCTTTTTTGGACGAAATAATATGTAGATGGATTTATGACTGTGCTTCACAGATGGTGAAAGATAAAATCATAAAACATAAAAGGTCGATGGTCATGATGCTTTTCCATTTTTATTTGTTTGGGGTAGGGACGGAAGGGGCGGACTCTGTGATTTGTTTAAAAGTACTTTGACGCTATTTTGTTTTAAGAGAACAGACCTGCAGAAGAAGACGATTAACAACAACAACAACAAAAACAGCAACGACAACAATACTAACCAATTTATAGATCATTAAGCGGACACTACATCATTCCCCGAGGGTGTCCACTTAATAAAGGTTTCACTGTAGTTAGACGACGAGCGAATAGTATCCCATGATGCATTTTTCCAGAAGCATCACGCAATACAGTAAAAACCCACGAGTAAGAACCTACATTTTTCAGGGTTAGCCTGAACAGGTTCTTACATAAATGGTGGTTAACATAAATTTAGGCTATCTAGGTTCTTAGTAGGTTCTTAATTTCTTGTAAAAAAAATATATCGTTGGTAAGAAGACTTTAGTGATCAGCACCCTTAAATTTGCATACCTAATGTTGCTTATTTCCAGGAGCCCAGGCTCCTGTTATTTCTTAATATGACCATAATAGAGAATTAGAATTGACATGTAGCAACTACTCATCCAGATTGATCATACATTTATTATACCATTTCTCTTTAAGTAAATATTTTTAAATGATTTTTGAAAATAAGAACCTTTCTCCAAATTTTAGGCTAAAGAGGTTCTTATATATAGGGGGTCTAAATTGCAAATTTTAGCCTAACAGGTTGTTAAATCTTAGGTTCTTACTCACGGGTTTTTACTGTATCGCAGTCATGGCAGATTCCATCGTGAAATAAGGTCGTTTCGTCGTCGCCTTTTTTCTCATTTTTGTTCCAGTAAAAGTAAGAAAATTGAATTATTTTGTTATTTGACATGATTTATCCGATTTGCAATGGCTTAGGAGCGAAATTTTCACATAGAAACATTTATTTTTCATTGTTTCACTCAGTCTTCTTATCACAAAGTGTTCAGTGACCCACAACAAGGATTGTAATTTATGCGTTTTTTTTCTATAATTTAGGAGTCTCTGGGAGTATTATAAAGGCTTCCACTGTTCATTTGAATGGCATTTGACACCTCATATGACGTTATATATCGAAACCTGTATTAGGCGGACACCCTGTATTAAGCGGACACTAACTTTAAACGACTGTCAGCCAACTGACAGCCTTGCCCGGCGTAGTTTCGTTTTTATGTTGAATTGGTGAGTGTGACATATTATATCAGCTGATATGTAGGTGCAAAACGACTGGTCTTTCCTCTGAGCCTTCAGAAGAAGACTCACCTTTAATTTTTTTTCTTCGCTTATCCGTAAACACAAACCCACACAGCCTGCAAAAATCGACCTCACTTAACAAGTCAGGATTCAGCACATAACCGAACCGATATTTCGAACTAAACACAACGGCTGTATTTAAAATACGTACGGTAAGGGAGTTTGGCGCGAAATCAAGAAGGTGCGTGCACTGCAGCAAGCCAGCAATTCCCACGATCAATCGACGTAGTTGCGTGGCCCGTGCAACGGAAATTTTCACGCTGTAGAAAGTTTCAGAAGTCGTGCAACGAACATGGACATCTAAAATGTAAGCTTGGCGTTGTATACTAGACAATGTGAGCAAATTAAGGTCTGGAGTGAAAGTCATGCATCGCGTATCGTATCAGAATAAAAATTTACGATACCTTGGAAAGGTCCGCCCTAAAAATTCATCGGAGTGTGTTCGTTTCTTGTAGCCGTGTTAAAGGTTGTAATTTTTGCGGGTTGTTAACATTTTGTTCTGAAACTTTCCTCGAGGGACTTTCCCCGTTGAACGGGCTACGCAGCTATGGCGATCGATGAGGAAAACTACGTCATGTAAGAAAACACAAGAGTCAACCGGCAGCTTCTCTTCGCTGATTGGCCAGAAAGATTTTTCTGACCAATCAGAAGCAGGCAATTTAAACGCTTCTGGAACTGGTTCGGAAAGAGTAAGTGCCCAGGGGCTCGTCTTTCACCACGAACATTTTATCGACCCGACTAACTGCCCCTGGGTCTCCGACGATGAAACATGTTATATGGCTCCTTAGAACTTACGTTGCTTACAGAGCGTCTTTCGATCCATAACTTCAGTCAAACATAATATGTTCACTTTTGTCGTTAAAGAGTTTATGATGCACGCAGTAAGTGCTTGAAGCAGTTTTTTCTTTATTACCTTCAAAACAGCTGCTCAGCAGAATGACACTAAACTGAAATAATTATTTTTATACGCGCGAGCTACAATGTTACGTCCACGGGATTTCGGAGAAAAGAATTGGAAATAATTCATTTCCGTCATTTTCGTTTTCTTTTATTATGAACTACATGATTTGAAAAAAAAAGTAAAAAAATCATGGTTTATGATCAGATAACTCGGTACTAAAGGGGATTTGTCGAAGGCAGATTTGAGAAATCATTTGGGAAAATAAAATACAACGTCCAGAACACTTGTTTTGCCACTGTATGGCAGAAGCTTTAGGACGAATTTTTGCCAGCAACAAATGTTTATACAAAACGGTGTATGGCTAGTATGACAGTTCGAATGGTTTCACATGCACAACATCTAGCAGTAGTGGTCTTAAACGGCTACATTAGAACGTTCAGTTTTCTTTAAGATATCTTTGGGTGGCGCCTTTATATTCTTATTTGCGCTAGAATTTTTTGATACTGGCGGTGAACCATTCAGAAGGTTTGCGATCCTCTTTCCCAGGTTGGAGTCAGGAAAACTGTTTCTACTTTCGTCGATTCCGCTGTCTTGATCATTAAAGAGATGTTTCCTTTCGCCGTGGTCGTTCCTATTCTGTGGGGTTGTAACCAAGCGAAAAAAGGTGGCGAAAATTACAAGTATCACAAATAGAACACTTCCAACAGCAATGGACAGTGCCTCCCATAGGGTTTTTCCGTCATCTTGGCTAGCTCTGATGGTAAACGATTAAAAGAAAAGTTGTCTAAGATCATTAACCTGGAAATCAAAAGCCACGAGTTTTTGGATATATTCGTTTTCTATAAAGCTGTTAATAACTTAGTTTTCATAGATAGTGAAACTCTGCCTGCAACTAGACAATCATCGAGATCTACCATGTCATCGAGCAGCAACGCTATTACTTATATCCCTAAGCGAAGTAGAACTGTTACTTTTCAACGCTCATTTTTACATACGCGGGTGCGGCACATGGAATGTTCTGCCGCGCTGATGATGAGTTACGCACAAGTCACATCTCTATAGCCTCATTTAAGCGTTCACTACTTCAATATTACAATAAGGTGTTGGACCTGTACGACGTTGACGACATCAGAACCTGGAGAACAGTCTGTCCCAGGTGCAGCATAGGGAGGACTCTCCTGTGCCCGCCGACGTGCTGCTTCTAGCAATTTGAACTTCTGTTTTGTTTCCTTTTGATTTTTTTGTTTATATGTCAGTAGGTCTAGTTATTCTTGTTTTTTTTCAACGACTGTTTTGTTTTGTTTTTTAATTAACGACGGATCCACTGTAATTGGTCAGGCTGTAGTGGTCTCCCTGCCTAATAATCTTTATGTATTCATGTATAAAGAATGTATTCTAGTTAGGCGAAGCTAAGTAAATAAATAAGTCAACTTTTAACATGAAAGATGATGTGGTTCTACACGGTAAATCGTACTACCTATTTTCCAGAGGGCGGGAAGGGGGCAGAAAAAATGTAAAAAAATGCTGATGAATAAGAACTGCCAGGCTCAAACTTGGCTGATTTAGAACCCTATTTCATAAAAGCTAGTTCAGCCTAAAATCTCAATATAACAGCCCGGGCTGGTATACTCTAGCCTGGGTAGCTGGCGGTTTTTACGCCGCCAGGAGAATGGGACAAAAACAGTCGTTCGGGCGCGTTTTCGGCGCAGATTTTTCCTTTCCGCAAAACGCACCACCAGCTACGCAGGCTATCATACTCAAGGCCTCGATGAGTAACTTACCTGTGGCAGATTCGGCAATCGTTGTTCTGGGATCCAATGGGCAAGCATTTGGACAGGCGCATTTGTGGGTCAGAAAATATTGCTGGTGAAAGAGAGCATAAAAATATGTTATTCCATCTTTTTGGCATTAATAGTCTAACTTAAGGGTAAAAGGGCCGTGAAATACATTTTCAATATGCAAAGTTCCATTCACATGGTACACACTGTACGGTAATTAAAAGTGAATACAGTCGACTCTCTCTTAACAGACACCTTCGTAAAACGGACTACCCTAGATTTGGTCCCTGTCTTTCTTTACTCCCTGTATTTGACTCTCTATAAGACAGGCATCTCTCTAAGACGAACGCTTAGAGAGACTTGACTGTAGCCTGCGAACGGCAGACGTTTCTCCTCGCTCATCGCCGCTGAGGGACGTTTCGCGAGGAGGAACGTCTGCGAATCAGCAACAGATGGTGAGATAAACTGGTTTGTTATTTTATACTGATTTTCTTGCTTTGTTCTATCAACGCTGCATATTGCCATCACAAACTGAAACGGCCAGGTACAGCTATGATTTTCAGCCAGTCTTTTAGTTCTAAGAGCGATGAACGGAAACACGGGTAACATACCTGACGAGGGACTTTGGTGGGGATAAAAAAGGACAGAATGTTCAGAAAACGTCTTTTGGAAAATTAAACAGCATCGTTTTGTGGATGTTAGCCAATATAATAAGCCCAATACTCAAGTGGCCAATCAGATCAAGGAAATTAGCAGGCGCAATTTGCTATCAAGATAAAATAAGCCTAAGTTTTGTCTCTAACGTTTTTTTGTCCTTGAGCGTGGTTGGTAAAATGCGCAACATCGCTTTTCAACTCATTTTGCAGCAATGTTGCTAAACAAGTTGATGTTTTTGTTGTTGCCCGTTTTACTATACCTTACTTAAAGATTGCATTGGGAAGATACTCCCCTGTTTTGATAGCGCACTGTACCTCACCATTTGACTGCGGAAAACAAAGGCTACTCGTGGTTGGCTTGTTTTCAAATTTTAAATACGGCTTGCTTTTTTAGGTTTCTCATCCGCAGAGACCGGCAGTGGTTCAACACTTCGAACTTTAGGCAGGTCTGATATTCTACTATTCTTGCTGTAAAGTAACCTCCTCAAGCCAGAAAGCCGCTTATCTTTGTCTGAGGCTTTGAATAATGAGGCCTAGACTGAAAAAGTTGTCTTATTTCTCCCTGCAATGTTCTCTATTTCGCGCCTGCTTGGATTTCATGTTCTTTTGTCGCCTCGCATTGCATTATTAGGTGACGGTATCTCTGTCATTTCAATCTTATATTGATAAGCTCTGTACGTTCAGTACGTTTCTTTGTGTGCACTTACATACGAATCATCAGGGTCTTGTTCAAATCTTGGCGTTTCCTTTGTCCGGTTACATATCAGTGTTACCTTGTTGTGCCACTGTTCTCCAGGATATCCTCTAAAAATAAGTGGCAGGATTCATGAGAGTAAAGGCGGAATACAATGATTCTTCATTCGTAGTTCAATTTAACGACTCTCGAAATTTTTTAACTCCACGCAAGCATACCATCCGCTGAATATCAAACGACAATCCCGCTAAAATTTCTCTTAATTATACATAATTATGCGAATGTTTGGACAATCAACCAATCAAAATCGCTATCTGGTTTTCGGGTAGTGAAGTCACTGGAAGGCATTAATGGCCGGTCGATTCAGACGTTACTAAGGGAGTAAGCGACTCCAAGTAACGTCTGAAATTCCGGCTATCGGTTATTCAAGAATACATAACATAAACATAACATAAAACTTTATTTATACTCGAATACAACTGATCAGGGCTCGCATTTTGCTCGCCAGCAATAATGTCCATTACGGCCTTACATACTTAGTCTTGTATATTGACTGCATCCTTGTCGGTTCACCACCCTGTGCCGTACTTTGATCTCCAATTTTCGTGTAAATAGCACCATTTTTTGGCCAACGACTTATCTGAAATGATAAACAATTCATGAAAGCTAAAGTGATTCAATATTTGCGTGAGCGGGAAGACTTCTTGTCGGGAGACTCAGAGATCAAGTCCTGACCACTGTTCTGCGTCTTAGGTGATAGCAAAGTCGTTGACTGAAGCACTTCCTTCCTTACTTACTTACTTACTTACATTATCCGAGTTCCTTAGACAATTAACTATAAAAACAAAATGCGGAAAAATTCCTTTGAATAAAATGCCATTTTTGACGGGAATTCAGTGTGTTTCATTCAGCGTCGTGAGTATGGAAGCGAACTGAACCTTTCTTTTCCTTTGCTTTTCGCAGCGAGGAAAGGAAAATCTCGCCTCCTTGCCCACTTTGTTTTTGCTTGGTCACGCAATGCTTGTCGTACGATTTGCTAATGTATTGTCTAGTGTACATCTGGGACTTCCTTAGCGTAGGAAGTCTGGAGTCATGTGACTTGACAATGACGGTGTTCGAGTTGTTTTTGAGAGTGTAGCGGCGACGTAAGTTGTGCTAGTTTTACATGGCCTCAATGATCCGTTAAAAATATTACATAGTGAAAGTGATATGACTACATTGTGGCCTAATGATATATGACGTTTCATAATCATGAATTCAAAACAGGGTAAATCTGATTGTTGGATACCATACGTGATACCCTGATATATATGGCCACTGAAACGCACAAATGATTTATCCATGTTGGACATTTTTCAACTGAGTCAGTGCATGGAAATTCTCGAAAACAATTTTCAGTATTTCGGAGGGTGTATACCGGATGTACATGATGTCACGTGGTGCTCATACTTTTCAAGTTCTTATTATGTTGCATACAAAGGAAACAAAAATGCGCATTTACACTGCCAGCAAACACTTGTTACTGCAGGATCGTGGAAGCAAAAGTAAATAAAAGTAAAGGAGCGGGGTTGTTAGGAAGGTCCAACGAAGGGGCCATAGAAGTGTCCATATTAACGGGGTGTCCGTAATAGGCGAGTCATGTTAGTAATTAAGTAAAAAAATACAAATTTTATTAAAACAAACCTTGACTCGCCGAAAAGCGAGTTTAACTGGGCTGCCACATTTAACCTTTCTGCCGACCATTGCGTGCCATAGAAGGGGAACTCTGTGACCGTATTTTTTAAAGAAGATATGTATACAACCATATCGAGAGCGACTATTTGTCGGAAATCCTTACGCGACAACCTAGACTATACAGAATGATTGTACTGCATGAAAACGATACGTTTATCAGAACAGACAGCGAACACCTTTTAAGAGAAAACAACCCATTATAAAAAACCATCACGGTAGACAGGCCTTATTCAACCGAGACTGATAGAGATAGATGATCAATAGACCTTAACAGGTTTTTAACTGGGCTGGCCGCAGGCGGGCCCAGGTCATAAAATACCTACCTTCGATTTTTTCTCCGGGGGTGGTGGGGGGGGTATTCCTAGAAATTCGTGGTGGGGATGTGCCATCTGACTTTCCAAATCCGTATCCTGGACTCTCTTTCAGACCAATGCCTATAGGGCAAATGTAAGGAAGTACCCACCGGGATTTTTGATTCACAAAATGAAGGCTATCAATTACTAACTAAGGTGTTTCGATACAGTTTCTCGGAGACCATACCGATGTTTTCAATCGCCTTAAAAAACATTTTGTTTTTGTCCAATCGCCACAAAATTTTCACCAGTGATTGACTATGAATTGAAGTTTATCAAAATGTAGTTTTTAGTAAAATCGATAGCACTATGACAATAATAAACAAAAAACTATGTAATCGATTAAAGGGGCTATGTCAGCTGGAGAGCATGCGCTCTGAGGTTATGCAAATTACTTTCAACTGTCAAAATTCTATTGTTTTTAACGCGTGACTTTCTCCATGTGCGCTGTGAGGTTATGCAAATTACTTTCAACTGTCAAAATTCTATTGTTTTTAACGCGTGACTTTCTTCATGTTCTCTGTCACGTCCAAGGTTCCGAATTTAGAGAGGTTTAGCGAAATGGGTTTAGATAAGGGATATTTCGATAGAATTCATGGAACGTTTCTTCTCTGGTTATGCTAGATCAAGAATAAAATTGCGACGACAATTTTGCTTGTAGTTTTGAAGTAAAAACGCATGCCATTCATAAAAAAGAGCGCAAACAAAAATTCAACAACAACATATTGTCTTATTCAACAAAATAAATGGAAGTTGTATTTTACAAACGAGCTACAAAAGACGCTAGACCGAAGATAAAGACCAAGACTGTTTCAAATCATTAACAATTAGACTTGTCTGTCGCTATTGATTTTATAATTTAGATGCTGATAGAACAAGAGACCAAGTCTTTGTTTTGATCTTAGGGAAACATACATTATCGCGCAAAATTGTTTGATCGTGCCGAATCACTGCGACGTCGAGAAAAACCCAGCATCATTGGTATACTACTCCACTATAAGCAGTCCGTTGATAAAAAGGGAAAGCAAACTCTGCTATTTTCCAAAATTATGCTCCAACACAAACAGTTCAAAAACATGGCATTTACAGGATCTAACTCGTACTAAGGTGCCTCTCTAAGTCCGTTGAGAACAATCTGGACGAGCAAACGGTCGTGTTTATCTTTGCCGTGAATCGAGATAAATACAAGAAGGAATCTAGCCGAATTTTAGAATGTTTCCTTCGCCAGGAGTTTAGTTTCGTCACGAAACTCATGGCCTGATGCTCTTGTAATCGTTTACAAAAAACGGCCGCCGCCAACTCGATAGCCGCTTCATTATATGTCCACATACTTTGAGTACAAGAAAAATCCAAGAGCCAGCAGCCTCTAAAATAACTCAATAGAAAGGTCCTGTGAACTATAGGGAAGATTCCATCACTCATTGTGGAGTAGCCGTCATTAACTCTGCCATTACAACGGCCGCTGATAAGAGGACACAGTAAATCCACGTAAAAACATTCCACAGGCAAACAATTTTAAAATAACGCCAAAACATTGTTCTGTAATCACCATAGAATGATTCTTAATACAAAACTTCGCTAACTATCGAACGATGGCTGAGATTTAGACAGATAAAAACAGCCTTCCAAAATCTCCGACACAACTTGA